GATAGGTCAATAAAATAAATGCAACGAGCATTTTGATTTCTGATTGGTCAGATAAGGAATGGCAGCGGTTACATTTTCACCAACACCAGGTACATACGAAAACTCACCTTCCTCATGCAGCTATCTATTCTATCACATCTCCCCAAAAAATGAACGCCCTTACTCCTCCTGACACTGACACATGCTTCTCTTGCTGTGACACAAGCAAATTTTTAGGCCCTGCCCCATCACAGGGATATGCAATTATTACGATACATACAAAAAAGGATGGAAGGACGAGGGAGAGCGTGTGAAAAGTGCAAAATGTTTAAAAACAGCACCGTACTATGCAATACCACGCTTCGGTAAGCTGTAGTAATGTAGAATGGTTACAGGGATATATCCATGACGTGTGCATCGGTCCGTACAAACTAAAGCTCTATGCTTGAATAATTTTAAACGTAGTTACTTTGTGATTCTTTGTATGGGATATGTGAGTCATTCTGCAATGGAGAGAGTGTTTAGCGAGCTTGTCGACTTTATCTCGTGTGGTAAGACCAAAAATCGACACTTGAAAATATGTTCCTGAGAGTGGAAAGCAGAGCAACCATTCAGCAATATCTAAGAAATTGCTCGTTGCGTTTCTTTTAACCGACCATAAGAGCATCATAAGTGTGAAGGGGTGGATCGTTATTGCGTAGAGAATGCTTAACGCCCCCCTGAATGATTTACATAGAGAAAGATATTAGTGACAAGGATATCAATATCGAGTACGACAGGAAAGTGTGTGAGTTTAAGGAAAAGGGTGTGAGTATATCAACTCTTGAAAATTTTGTTCAAGGAAAAGGGGTGTAAATACATCAACACTAAATTGGTGATATAAAGGCGACAGAGAGCCACGTTCGGCTGAGGCAGGTATCTTCGCGAATTTTGAATGGATAGAATGTGCCTGAAAGCATTAAAGATATAAAGGTCGAATTTCCATTGCGCTATATATAACAAAAAAGCATAATAATGGGAAGCCATACAAATGGCTTCTGCAATGTAAAAAACGAGAAGTTAGTGAACACTTACAAATCCATGACACATACACACTCACGGAATCAGCGTGCATACTTCAAAATAAGAGGAGACTGGGTGAGTTTGGTCATCAGGCTGATGATAATGACGACTTTGAGTCGGATATCACAGACACAGGCCTTATGTAGGTCAATGTTCTCATTACTGTTGCTGATGTATCAACATTTGATACTAAGAACTCAATCTCATGTCGCTCAGTATTAAGACGTCATATCAAAAACAATTCTGGCTCTCTGCGAAATACAGTGTGAGGCGCCGACAAGCATACCCAGACACTTGAGGAACCCGGATCCCACACATCATATTATTGTTTGGCCATAAAATGAATGCTGCAGCATACGTTCAAACAACTCCTCCTCTCCGGCACCTAAAAATTGGTTTTATCGCTCTCGAATGGTCAAGCTTCCTAATTCTAACTATCTGCTATTTGTGTGCATATCGGATAAGTTTGCCAATGTCTTTAGGGATCTCTAGTCTCGACAAGATGCTACTTTTCCCGGAAATCTATCTAAAATGCATGACACGTTTCAGCATAATAAAGTTTATATGTTGAGTGGATGTGCGCAGGCGAAGGCAAATTGTGAAGTGAACATATTTATGGTCATTAGTTTGCAAACTTGCTTTGCTGCCTCTGAGCCACTCATTCCATACACTTGGACAAACTAAATGAGTCCTATTGATTTATCTAGACCAACTCATACCCTTCGATCTTCTCAAGATCTTCCACAAGGTTTAGGAAGCTTTCCTTGTGACGTCACCCGATGATGTCAGGCTGTGCTTCTTCTCAGCCTGTCTTTCTCGATTCTTCGAAACATATCCATGAACATAAAAAGCAGTAGACGGTGTTATCTCAACATTTATCACTTCGTTAGTAGCAGGAGACAGCTTGATGAAAATTGCCCAACAAAAAATCCATGGCACAATGCCCCTGCAATAGTTTTTCGGCTCTAGAAAACGACAATCTTATTGTCAGGACGCCTAATACTCGCTAAGCAGTACTGGCATTCTTACTCTATCTCGCGGTGAAAAGAGCCGGATGTTGCCCAATCGGTACCAAGGGCACTAAAAGTGAATATGGGACTACACGGAGATTGACACTGGCAATACGCGTTTCATATCAAGTGATATCTTAAGATCATTTTGATTGGGTGATATTTTTGTAAGTGAATCACTAGCACACAGCGGTATACGCCCGCAAAGTATCATATCTAGCAATCATGTGGCACAAATCTGATCGACCAATTTATGTGTAAAATCTACTCGTTGAGCATACCATCCGGACTCCTGATGCGGGCAGACAAAAATAGTAGGACGGAGTGCTCCCGTCGTTTATACGACGCAGGTCTTGCGCAGTATCAGTGCAGTAACGCTTGACCGAAAAAAACAGCTGAAAAAAGGAATAAACCCAGATACTCATGCAGAAGGCCGGCGTTCTCCGACAGGAGTGACGAGCCATTGCGCCTTCTGTAAACGTAAGGATTGTTCAGCTCAGTACGGCAATCAGCTAAATATACACCGCAACGTGTTCTTTCCACTCAGTAGATTGCAGGAAACGCACAAGTAAGGTAAGCGTTTTTTCATGAGAGAAAAAAGGGCACTGTGGTTATATTGTAGTGCTTTTTGCTGGCTTCAGACGTGGCGCATTTTCCCTACGAACGTAAAATTTGCTAGATGCATTATTACTGTCATGGAGGGTTAAGCTATCGGTGACTGTACGAAAATACATAGCCGATCTTGCAAAAACCACTCTCTCTGTGTGTAAATAGAAAGCTGGATGTACCTTTCTCTTCATTCTAGGTGCGATGTAGGATACCCCTCTTTTTTACTACGCAGGCCTTATAAGTATCACTCGTGAGGATGGCTACTAATTGAGACCGCATACAGTGTTTATCACACGAACGCATCGAGCCCCGTACGTAATTGCATTAAAGCATTGAGGACCAACAAAGGGAAATGAGATAATGCTCGACACTTGGGGCAGTGAATGTCTCGCACCTCGGGCAAAATGTAAAGTGAAGTGTACTTCATGTATAGCACATGATCAAAAAGCAACAATTGCTTGTACCTATCTCTCTTGGTGGCTAAAGAAGCTCCCTTAATTCTCTCTTTCACATTTATCAGTGATATGTTGTCGGTCACACTTCGTTGATGACAGCATCACCGAGCAGGATTGTTCGCTGTCTATTCGGTGTTTGTAGAAGCCACCCGAGGATAATCTCTCTCTGTCAACCCGAGTTGCTTTCACGCACACTAATCCATCATCCCCCACATTAATTAAAACATACAGCACAAAGAGTTCCATAACTGCCAATCATTCACCACATTTACGTAAAGATACAAAACTCGATTTAGCTCTCTGGACGAAATTGCATATATAAAAGATGAGCTCCAGAGCTTGCTCACCTATCGTATAGCCATATATTATCACCAGATTGATGCTCTCTGTCTACAACGTGTACCTTGGTGTTGGACGATTGTTGACGGATATGAGCCTGTGTCAGGCGATGGATATAATTAGGGCACCGTTAATATCCCCTCAGTTTGATATAATGCTACAGAATTGGCTAATTATAAGTCACGAATAAAGGGAATGATATCACTATCAACTGGATTTTAAACTCATTTTTTGTTGTGGTCATGTACGACTGAACTTTTTTCTCGCACAAAAATGTCGTGTGTTGGACGTCACTGTCGGCGTTCCAGCAACAATGAGAGACGCCCCTAAATCAAAAGATGTGAGTAAGTGAGTGAGTGTAAAGCCATCATATCGAACTAAAGCAAGCAATGATCAGCATCACTGATGCAATAAACTCGTTAGAAGCTGCGAAGAAGTTGCGGTCGTTGCATGAGGGTCGGCCACAATGCGCAACAATGTGGAAGATTAATCGAACCAACACCTGCACAACTTACCGGAACCAATTTGCTGATCAAAATACCCTTGATTGCATTCCTCAATACGAGTCTATTCACGTTCTAATCACTAACACTCGTGCGTGACTGAATTAGACCCTTACTTGCACGAGCGTGAAATTTCTCAGTCACATTGGCAACACCAGCAACTGGATCATCGATAAGCAGTTTCTCAATTGTTGCGGTGCTGCAACAATATGTAATTACTGGGATATCTCGACAGAATCTTGCGCTCAAGAACACCTAAACTCGACTGCGAACTATACTAAATTAGGTCAAATCGATGTTTAGAAACCGGTTATAGTGATGTCATACCCTTAATGCATGTCTTCAAACTAGCCAATCATGTAGCATTATATCGAACTGAGGGGAAATTACCAGCAAACTTTTGAGAGATTTACGCTTCCCTACAATTGACGCTGCTACAAACGTATCTCGACAGCACTATTCTTTCTTCACCGATCCATTACCATTTCTACACCAGTCGATAGAAACGGGTCCCTGTTCACAAAAATGGGTCGTACTGATAACGTGGTTTTCTTCCTCAGCTTAGAATCTAGGTCAAATATCAAGTACCGATCTCATTCCTCTCGTTCAAATTGACATCTACGACTGGCGGATGTGCGTTCATCCACCCACCAACTGCTACCGTTTATATTCATAAAACTAATTTGAGCACATCCAGACGCTATATCGGTTTCGATCGACCGTAATTGTCAAAAACCGGACAAAAGAGCCCTGGAATCTCTTCAGGTAGTGTAAGGGTATCCATCGGGCCTGACCCGGAACAGCAAAGTACTTGTCCACATGACGCTGCAACTGTTATACAAAATGTCTGCATTTCATCATGTTCTCGGGTGTTCGTGAAAATTGTCGCAACGGGTTGTTCCAGTTAACCACTATTTTTTTCTTCGTGGTCAGACTGGATGAAGCTGAGTGTGAAAGACTTTGACTTGTACAATCGGTAGATTCTTGGGACGAGGTGTGTGGTCTTGACTTGGCCTTCAACGCCCGATTTCTCTTTCGAGTTCATGACGGCGAGACGAAAACGATCAGGTCGGATTTCGAGAAAACCAAAGCTGCGGGGTGCGAAGAAGCAAGTCAGACCTATTGAAGAAGAACAAGCACATACGTGTCTGAAAGGCCACGATAACGCTGGCATGGATGACTACGATTACCCATCGATTGGTGGCAAACGAGTGTGGAAGCAAAAATGTGGAAGCGTCGACTGGGGAGGTGCAAACCACATTGGAGACCCCAATGCCTGGGTGTCAACGAACCTAACGCAGCCGACAGTGCAGGACTATTGCATACGATTCCGCAATGCTGATCAGCTTGCTGATTGGGTGTACAATGCTGTTAAGCACCAACCGATACAGCTAAGTCTGAATGGCAGCGAGCGCAGCAAAGAAGTGCGGGATGTTCTGCTGCGACAGTTTCATCGCTGGCCGGCGATGAAACTTAGCCGCGCAGAAGAGCAATGTCAGGAGCTGAGTAAGCAAGCTGAGAAGCGATGTCAGGACCAGGTACAGCTGTACATTCACGAGCTCGGAGGAAAATTGCTGGCCGGTGCCAAAGCCCTCTTCTGGCTCAATGTACTGCATCCGATGATTCATACAGCGGCCGTGTCACGTCAGGAATCTCAAGAAGTGCTGTCGCTATTTTTGGACGAGCTCAGAAGTGTCGACGGAGTGTACGAAAAGTTGACGACGAAAAATGCGTTTACTTGGGACGTTCTGACGCTACCGTTCAGACTCGAGCCGCTGTTTCATGGTGTAAGCACGTTGGCACTAGCAGGCCACGAGGTTGCTACAAATGAGGCGGTACGGCTAGTGACAGCATTTGCTGAGCAGTATGCTCTCGCCGAGAGAAAGAACGCCACAGTTCCGACAGGGTTATCGATTGTAGCTTCTGTGGGTAAGCTTGCTCCGCTGAAAATCTCCAGCTTCGAGGAACTGCCGCAGACACTACGTGGGTGCCTTGTGCAACCATTCGCAGCAGTCACGGGGAAATGGTTATCGGTTGTTGGTGAAGTTTTAGAAGTTCTAAATCAATCTCTTACGAGTAGGTGGGTGTCGCGCGAACGATCACCTTACGAGAAAGAGCGCAAGGATACAATTGAGCGTGTCCTTCAAAGCGACTTTGACCGGCTCAACCATGCATTGGCGACAGACCAACTGTACGTGGTGAGTAAAGCTCGAAAAGACAGGTCGAGTGCCGGTGACGAGTGCTTGGATGTCCACATTTTGTGCGACCGCGGGCCGTTGTGTGTACAGCTAAACCGTGGCAACGGGTGGATGTAGTGAAGAAGGAGAGTTTGGCGTTTTAATGTAGTGTGATGCACGTTGATCGCTCCAGTTAAGCAACAGTCTTTTCAGGGAAAAATCTTAATTCCTTGGAAAGACTTAATAAGCTATCAACTGCCAAATGACTTCAAACCGTTGTTAAATTGGACTCGTTGACTGACAAGGTCGAGGCCCAGGTTTTTGCTTCGAGTTGACGAACCGAGTGCTGACGAAAACGAACGCATCACTCAATCCTCAACTTTCTTGCAAGGCAGCACGTTGACGAGCAGCTTGAAGTTTGATTATGCATATCCAGCTTGGCACGAACCAGAAGCTCATTAGCTCGGACTGTTTTCGTCTGGTGAGCTTGATACCAGAGATCCAGAATGACGTCGAAGTGGTGAAGCCCGTGTTAGACGAGTTAGAGGTGATGCGACTGAGCTGTGCACTTGGAATGCTATCGACAGCGAGCTCCCATGACTTCGAGGAGGAGATGCTGGAGGCCAGTGACTTCGATGACGACTTTGCTCGCTTTCTCCGAAAAGAAGTGTTCGAGACGGACGGAAAATGCGCCTCCAACGGCATCAGGGTGATGTCTTTGTTCGGTAAACAAGACGCTGTAAAACACGAGCTGATTATGATGAGTTGCTGGTCCGACACGATTGACAACAACTTGAAGACGGAAGACCAGGGGATTTACTGCGTAACCCGACAAGACGACAACACTGCGGAACACACACTGGTTTTATTCGGATGGATTCAATCGCATTTGTTCCGAAAGGTTCGACTTCGTGACACGGCGACGTATGTGCTCCGTTTCTTGTCGTGCTTGAGCTCTGACATGGTCTGCTGCCTGTCAACGGAAGACGTGGAGTTGGTCGAGCAAGCGGTCGCTTCCCTGAAGACAAACAATTTGGACACTTGGGAATCGTTCTCGGTAGCTTTCCACGTCGAGCGACAGGAAGAGCAGAAGGATGCCGTCAATTGTGAATATCTGCCAGATGTGCTGCTGCCTACAAACGTGTCACCGCAGAGTGTTCGGCTGCTCAAAGGCAGCTATCCTGCATTTGCTGTAGTGGATTCAGCCCCCGCTGAGAGATGCAGCAAAACGTGCCGTATCAGCTTTAACAGTGCTGATGAGTTCGCAAAGCAGCTTGTCGACGAGTCGAAAGAGCGGAACCTGCAACTTAATTTTCGTGGAACGCAAAGTAGCGGTCTCAAGAACGTGCTGCTGAAGACAAGTGGGAAGTGGCCCGAGACAAAGCTGCAAGTTATCAGGGACTTGCGAGACTGCAGCTTGCAAGGGTCGGTGGAACAGTCGAAGGACCGAATGGAAGGGTACATCGAGGATCATAGAGCAACTCTAATCAGCTGGATGGACAATTTATTTGACTTGGATGTGCTGTTCGAGGCGCCAGCAGGTGGGTCAGTCTTCACGAAGCTACATGACCATGTGGAGGAAGCCCGAGCGCACGCAGCCGTCTGGAGCAAAATCGACAACGTGACACAAACGACCTTGTTGTTACCGCTTCGTCTCAAGCGTCGGATAAAGGCCATAGCTTCAGTATTTCGTGAGCATCTGTGTGATGATTCTGCAAGCAGTGCAAGACAAAGTTTAGCAGCATTCATGCGCGACTTTACTGCATCTGACAAGGAAGTTCCGAGTACCAGCGGAGGATTTTTTAAACGAGCGCTGAAGAAAGTTAACAGTTTGCTCGGCGATCAACGTCCGGAGTTGCTGACAGACCAATTTCGTGAGTGCATGACTGAGCCACTGCAAGAAGCTCGACAAGCTTGGTTTGAGGCGATCGAGGTGTCGTTAACTGCCACAGAAAGCGTGTTGCTACCCGTGTGGAGTGAGGAAAATCGAAAGGCAATAGTTGAAACGTGTAAAGAAGACGAGCGCATGGCCATCTCGGACGCTTTCGAGGAGTTACTTGAGAGTTGGCGCAATCAACACAAAGATGGCCTTTCGACAACGATTAACCTTCTCGTACTTCAGAATGTAATAAAATGGACTGCCGAGAAGGAACACTGGAAACCTGCGACAGACCAGCTGAGCGCTTTCAAACTGGAAAAGAATGATAATGGGTCTTTCAGCACCAAACAGCTGGGTACGCATCGTTTGGATCCGGGGGTGACGCTGTTAAAAGCGTTCACCATTAAGAATCACTGCATACTGTTGGTGACGTGTTCTCCGCAGAAAACTTTGGTGGAACGCATTGATTTTCCACTCCAGCAACCATACTTTGGCAAAAAAGTAGGAGTGGTGTCATTCACGCGTTCGTTCGGACGAATGGCATCCTTGTGCGACTTCAACGTCCATGAACGAGTCATGGCTTTTGTGGAGGAAGGTGGGCGCGTCGTGCTTTACCGGTTTAACGAGAAGTTCTCATCGCTCGAAATTTACAAACGTGTTGAGCTATCGTTGCGGACGTCGTTGACACTTCCGGTCGTCGATTTTCTGCTAGTCGATGGTTTTCTGTATGCAACAGACAAGAGCGGGTCGATCCAGTCCGTAAATGTCAAAAACCAGCAAACATCGCGCAAAGCTCAAACGCTGTTATCGGGATCTGGTGGGCCTGCGAGCTCGCTGTTCACTATGGCCGATAATGAGGTGTTGGGCTTTGTGGCGAGGAAAGAGGTTGAAGGATCTACTGCGCAGACCGTGTTGTGTGCCATGGCTAGCGAAGACTATCGCGAAGTACCCGTTTGTAACTCGATGTCGTTGTCACTTCAATCGGAAGACCTGTCGATCGAAGCTTTCGAGGATTTTTTGTTTGCGGTCGATGAGAGGCAAAAGAAAATCTGCGTGCTTCGACTGGCGGCGACAGTGCGAAGCGAATCATTTCGCATTGAGCACTCAAAGGAACATTCAGTTAACGGCAGCAAAGTTGAGTCGGACGGATCGAACAAGGTGGGCCACTGGCTTCGAGCCTTCTATCATATGTACGAAAAATTTCCTGTCCGCGGCTTGATTCGAGGAGTTGACGACACCCATGCGACGTTGAAACTGCACGTAGCGTGTACATCTGCACTGTCACAGTCTGACGAAGACCGCTGCCATTATTTCTTTCAAAGCGTGATGCGCGATCTCCGGAAGCTGAACAAGCCCCTTGGTGGAATGGATCTTGCCCGTGATCTGGTCTTCACGACAGATTTGAGTGCAAGAATGAACGGGGTAGCGCTTCAGCCTGTCCGATTCATTCTACAACAGTTGATCACGTTTGTGCCCATCCAGGTTTGTCGAGCTGAGAGCAACTCGCTTACAGTGATGAGAAATGGTCAAGCAACTCAGACCATCAATCCGTCGTCGAGTCTCCACGCCGTTGACATTGCTCGTTCAATCCGGTTTGGTCTCTTATCACCACTACTTGAGTCGTGGCAGGGGCGGTGCGTTGTTATAACCTCAATGGGAAAGCAGTCGACTGGAAAAAGTTACTTGCTCAACCACTTGACTGGATCGTCCTTCGCGATTGCTGGAGCACGCTGCACGGACGGAGCCTGGATGTCGATTCGTATTCTGCCGAAGAATGTTCTTCTTGTTGTCCTTGACTTTGAAGGCCTTGGATCTTTTGAGCGAACAGAGCAGGAAGATGTGTTCTTGTCGGTATTCAACGCTTCCATCTCGATGTTTACCATTTTCCGAATGGAAATGCGGTTTGACAAGGAGATCGATGACTTGTTTGCTCGCTTTCAAAAAGGCGTAGCACTCATCAAGGGAGATCCGAGTCTTTTCCGAGGCAAGCTGTACATGTCTGTAAAAGACGTGAACCCCAACGATCAGAAGGGTGTGCTGGACGAATTTAGAGGCAAATTCCAAACGTTAGTCAGCGCGAACAGGAGCAGCAACTTTCTGGTCGACTTATACTCGGGCCAACTTGACATCAATTGCTCCCCGACGCTGGGCACGACTGACTACTACCAGTCGCTAATGCACGCCCAGAAATTTATCGAGGAGTCTCTCTGCGGCTCTGAAAAGGCAGGCTTTCGTAGTGGCAAAACGTTCTTGGACTGCATTCGTTTGGTTCTCGCAAAAATCGCGAATCTGGACTGGACGTCGCTTGATGAAGGTGTAAAGCAGTTCCAGTTATCTGAAATCAGCTCGAAGCTGCCGGGATTGATCCGAACAGGCTGTATCATCCCACTGGAGTTCGTCACGAGGAGAGAAGATATTGCACCGTATCTGAAAGAAGACATTGTGTTACCTGATGGAAAAGTGATCGAAGTCGATCTAGAGACAATGATAGCGGAATGCTCTACTTTGGGTGATAACTGGCGTGCCCTCAGCGAATGTATCGATCTTGACTCAGTGCCAGACAGCGAGGTAGATTTCGGCTTCGACTGCTGCTCGACCAGCGAAGAAACGATTACGCATGTTGATGCAGCGATCAGACAGATGCTTCGGCTGTTTTTGCGGACCAATGTGAGCATCGAAGACAGTAAACTGTCGAGAGAGATAGTCAGCGATTTCGACGCTTTCCTAGCGTTTGTCGTACGTCGTCGCAAGGCCCGGATTATCATTTGGGCAAAGCAAATGCTCGGGGGTCAAGTGACGGATGAGTGGAAGGCCATGGAGCAACAATACTTGGGTCAATTTCAGTTGCTTTTCAGGCGCTGTCAAAGTAGATGTGATGACTGCCGACTCGGGTGCATGAAAGCTGCTGCTCACGCGGAGAGCGCTTCGCACGACTGCAGAGGGAGCCACATTTGCACTAGCCGCTGCGAGTACTGCGAAAGCAGTGAACGTTTCAAGACTCCTCCTTGTTCCAAAGAAGCAGGTCACGAAGGAAAGTGTGAGTGTACTGATGGTGATCACACGTGCGGTCGAGACTGTGCTTTGGCGCACTCGCCAAACTGCGGCAAGAAATGCTCGTTGAAGCGAGGCCACAGTATGCAGCAGCACAAATGTGACGTACTCGTTCACATGTGTGGTGAAGAGTGCACGGCAGTAAGCTGCTCCGGACAATGTGTGTTGAACGTAGAAGATTTGCATACCGCTCACAAGTGCGTCGAAACGCGCTGCATGCAAAAGTGCATCATTGATGGATGTAACGAGCTGTGTGCCACTATGGATCATTTTCATGGGCAGGTTGACGTTGCTGTGGTGTACTCGGTGGAAAATGGTGACGAGAAGGGGATCGATACGTTCGACGCAGCCTCAGAAGTTCCAGTCGTCCACATGTGTGGAAATGGTCACGAGTGCCAAGCCATGTGTGAGGAAAAGGGGATTTGTCGAGTTGACGTATTTCTCAAGCAGTCTTCGAAGACGTTCACGGGGGCCCGTAGTAAATTTCAGTTCACTTACCAGGAAATGAACGGCTCACGCAAGAAGTGCACGAAATTGCTTGCACCCAACCAGAAGATGCATCTGGGCGCCCACACTTGCCTTTGTGGGCCAAGCGAAGTGGACGAGAAAAGTGGTCGTGATCGAACAGTTCATTACTGCGACGTCCGCTGTCCGTGCTGCAGTTACTTCTGCAACAAAAAGTATGGACACTTTGATGCGCATACGACGTCGCACGGGAACATGCGCAATACCTACTTCCTCTCGGATGCGAAGGAGATTGACATTGAGGAGCGCAAATACAAAGCTGGTGAGCTGGGAATAGCTGAAATGTGCAACTTGTACTGTTCCAAAATGGGTCGTGAGCATGTGCACTACCTCGATTGCGAGCAAGGCACCAAGGAAAAGTGTGTGTACACTGGAAGCACCACAGACCAGCGTCGTCACTGCATTCGCAAGTTGGAGCCGCCGCCGGAAAAGCAGGTGGACGAAGTATTACATGAACAGTTTTGGAAAACGCTGGGCTGGGAAGATCCGTGTACGTCAAAGATGGAACTCGAGTTATTCGGGAAGTGCGGATTCAAGTGTGATGCACCTGACCACGATGATAAGCTCTCGTACTGCTGTCTTGCTGCGTGGCACAAGCCTGAACCCAACCCACGATCTGGTTTCGATGGCTGTACCTACGTTGGTGGGCACAAGTTTGAGTGCTCGCATGTCGCCAGTGGTGGAAAGATGCATCATGTGTTCGTGCTTGATTGCTCAGGCTCGATGCACGGTCAACCTTGGAATGATCTCATGGCTGCGTGGAGGGAGTTCGTCTATAATCGCATTGCAGAAGGAGCTACACTCGATTTGGTCTCGGTTGTAACCTTTGACAGCTACTCGCAGATTGTTTACGAAGCGCAGAACATAACGACGATGACCAATGCTCATGTTGAGTATCGCGGTGGAGGAACGAACTATGCTGCGGGGCTTCGAGCAGCGACAGAGGTACTTTCGCGAGTAAATTTTGATATGTACAAGCCGACTGTCGTATTCTTCAGTGACGGGCATCCCTGCGATCCCCTCCAGGGCGAACAGCTTGCAGTACATATCAGAAGCTGCTATGAGAAGAACGGACTCCAGGCATTTGCGGTGGGCTTCGGTAGCATCAACCTGGACGTACTGGAGCGAGTTGCAGCGAAGATGGGTGGAACGTACCACCACGTCCTCACGGGCAACGAGCTGAAAGCCACATTCTTTAGCATCTCGGCTTCGATGAGTACTCGCGCGGGTCTGGCACTGGCCAAACCAGATCATGAACGCAACTGCGTCATTTGTGGACAAGACCTTGCATCCGGCGAGACGGTGAAGCTGGAAGGGTGCCGTCACGAGCTCCACATGTTGTGCTTGGATGTGTTGATGCGCAATGCTGCGCAGGACGAAGAAGTGGCTCGTTGCCCGTCGTGCCGTCGTAGTATCGTTTTTACTTAGTCCCTGTCGACAGTTCTTGTGCTGCTGAGTTATCCAAAGGCTCCCACATTGAGAGTATCCGTTTGTGTAAGGCTAGTTGATGAAGCGTGTGCGGTAGTTGGGCAGAGAACACGGGCGGATAATTATTCTCAAACGGCTTGACCATTTTCATTGCATGCGCTGTCGTCAGACTACATTTCCAACCATAGATGCGTTGCAGTCGACATCCACGAGCACAACCGTACTTCTGGACCATCATTGCCTGCCATCTCCAGCTGTAACGGATCAGGCCCAAGTAAAAAAGCATCGTGGTTGTCTTGGTACGTATGCACCGATCATCGTCGCCGTTGCTTTTGAATCGTGGTTGTAAGCTGAGCAACACGAGATGCGGTTGTCGCGCCCGAAGATCTGCTAGCAGCATCCAGGATGCAGCCACGAGCTGTCTTCGGAGTAGAATGTCTGTAAGAAAATCACGTCATCCAAAGAATCAACTACCATCGATTCCGTCAAAGTCCTGCTTCTCAGTCGAGACTTGCATCACTTTGCATACGTGAACGTCACGCTTTTGACTGAACAGCTTCCGGCCTCACCTAATAGCTACCTAGTGAGTACGCACTCTGACCTCCTCTTACATAACCGACTACATCAGCTCGCTCCTTTGCGTCCACGACACTTACGAAGTGCCGAGGTGACAGTCTCATCGCGTTCGATGCCTTGTGGACACTCATTGCTGCGTGTTTCATCCAATCAAAACCGGATCCCGAGTATTTGATTCGACAGGGTATCATGGTCAGAAAAGCCAGATCGACGAATCCATCGATCGCTGGGTGAGAGTGATGGTCGGTCGCGCATCTTTCCGTTGGACAAAGTTGTGAGCGAGAGTGATGGTCGGTCACCCACCACCTTTCCGTTGGACCAGTGCGCACTCATTCTTGATTCGACCACATCGAAACCACAGCACATGGGCGTGCGCGGACTGAGTCGTTTCTGTCGGCAGAAAGAGGCGCAGACGTCGACCGAGTCGTCGGATCTGCACGACGTGACACTGGCCGTGGACTTTGTCGGCTTCCTCTACTACCTCTGCGACGAGCTCTTTCGCGAGAGCAATGCGTCGCCCGCCTGGCTGCTGCTCGGCGGCTGCACGCTCCGCTTGGAGCGCTACGTGGAAACGTGGCTCGCTCGACTAGAGGCGCGTCGTGTGCGTCTCGTGTTTGTGACGGATCCGCCGCAGTGTTTTGGAGGCGAGAGCCACCGCAAAGGTCTTTGTCTACAGGACCGACGACTGCAGAAGGCCCAGCAGATTGAGCAGGTGGCCCACAGCCCGGAATGGAGTCTGCCTCGTTCTAGTGGCAATAGCGATAGCTCCAGGAGCTCGACAACTGACGGCCGGAGTTCGCTGCTGGCCAAGACGTTGTTACAGACGAACGGCCGCTTTCCTTTTGCTCGAGAGAAACTCCGTGGGGTGCTCATGAGCCATGGGATTCCGATCACAACGGCTAGTCGAGAAGCTGATGAAGAACTGGGTGCGATGGTCCGGTCAGGAGCAGCGTTTGCCGTTTTGGCAGAAGACTCGGACTTTCTGGTAATGACTGGCGTTAAGTACATTCCGTTTGACAAGCTTCAGTTTTACGAGGACGAGCTGTGTCCAGAGCACTCGAAAGTGCGTGCGCGAGTGTTCTCGTCCGACTTGGTGGCACAAACACTTGGACTGCAAGTGGAGCAGCTTGTGGACTTGGCACTGCTGTGTGGGAATGACTTCACCCCGGTGCTGGACGAGGTCTTTGATATGGCGGCAACGCTAGGGTATCCTGTGCAAAGACTGCAAGCGTCGAGTTCGCTGTACCCTGCAACGGCTGCTAGGTGGGTGGTGGAACACCTGCCGACGTTGGAGAACCCCTTTTTGATTCAAATTGAGGCGAAGAAGAAGGGGTTCCTGCATGCGCTGTTTGAAATCTACCGATTTTACGGACACGAAAAGGCGTTTCTGAAGAAATATCCGATGAAAATTCGATCAATTATACCGAACAAGAAGATGAAACAATACAAAATGTTGATCGACCGCTTTGATTACCCCCAGATGGCAATCGACATTCTGGAAACAAAGTCACGTGGATTGAGTCAGAGGTTCGACCCATTAGCTTGGATACCTGGATTAGAGGGTAAGTCGTTGGATGAACTGCAAGCGCCGGCACGATGTCTGGCCTATGTGGCATTAGATACACTGGTAGTGCAAGAAATGACTTTCGACCACACGGTGGAAGTACGCGTCGAACCCTTGGACAGTCTTCGTCCGTTGCTGTCGATCCCGCTGCAGCAGCGCTCTGCAAAGAAAGTGGATTGCATCCTTCGCTCTTTGGTTTTTAGCATGGTCTATGGTGATCCTACTGGTGGAAGCCCCAAGGCAGCAAACTTAGCTGGCATGTTGGGAAAGACGGATAAAAGAGGTCTTGCGGTCAAAAATATCGTGTATAGCCTGCTCGCGTTGTGGAAACGAGATAGAACGTATTTGGTCGGTGCAAGCTTGCTTGACGACCGACTCCTTGAGCTGTTGTTGCTGTCATCGTTGATTTCGTTGGCGGTAGATACGTCCAAACTAAAGCCAAACCGGAGTGTCGTCATGTTCGATGAGCACCTCTTAAGCATGGAAGCCTATGCCGTTGTGGGCGCCTACCTTGAAATCCTGAAACAGTTTCATCAGCTGCGGCTTGTGATAGGAAACAAACTGCCAAAAAAGTTAGGTTGTGCGACGTATTTTTCGTGCGAAGTGTTCGTGCAAGTTTGCCAACTTATGCTGCAAGATAGTGGCACTGCCTCGACGACGTCGAAATCCCCAAGTGTCGTCCCAGAATTTGCTCGCCGCGAGATCGAGCCATTGATGATTATTTACTCAGAAATCTCCAGCGACAGTTTTTGGAGGCATTACAAAGCTATTCGTACGACAATGCAACGCATGAAAGCATTGATTGTGCTTCCAGCTGACGCAGTGCATACCAGCGTGAACGACAAGAGCCTTGCGACCCTTGCATTGGAATGTGCCATGACGAAGCGTGACGCTATTAACGCCCATAGCTCTGAAGTGCCACTAGTGGTTGCACCCCCGCTCCTGCCAGCTGACTATTTCCCACCGTTGCCGCGGGACTTGCCATCTCAGCTACGTACACCAGCCTTGACGCCGTTTCCGCGTGACTCACCGTCTCAGCTGGATGTACTAGCCCTGGCGACGCCTGCCCGCCCTTCGGCTAACACCAAACCTGCGAGTCATTTTACTCCACCTCTGCCACGTACGACTCCTTCGAATCTCCAGGCCTCAGCGCCTGCTTTTAGCTATCGATTAGTAAAGGGGCTGATGCCATCATCTGTGGCAAAATGCCTTAGCGTGGGTAGTGCCGTTCATCAAAATACGGGGTCCGTGCCGGAAGCTGAGCCGAAGGCCAAGAAGCCAGTAAGTTTGAAGGGATTGATGAAGACGCTGCCAGTGTATGGTCATCGGAAGGAGATCTTAGACAACGTGGTTGAAAACCAACTGACGATTATCCAAGGCGAGACTGGGTGCGGTAAAAGCACGTCGGTTCCTCAATTTCTGTACGACTCCTGGGCCCGAGATCGTGCTACCAGCGAACGTCCCGTCAATATCTATGTAACACAACCGCGACGTATCGCTGCGATAGAACTAGCCAGCACTGTGGCAAGAATGCGAGACGGGAATGAGTTTGGGGAGGATGGTCAAGTGGGAAAGGTCATTGGGTACAGAATTGGGCAAAAACAGGTGACCTCTAGCAAGACCAAGATCACGTATGTCACTACTGGGTATATGGTGGAGCGGATTATCCATGAACCAGATGCGCTGAAAAGTATGACACACCTAGTGCTCGACGAAGTACATGAGCGCAGTATGGATGTTGACTTACTGCTGCTACTCCTCAAACTCCAGCTGAAAGACCATCCCCATCTGCGCCTCGTCATCATGTCTGCAACCATGGACGCGCAAGTTTTGATTAAGTATCTGGGCGGATCGCTCTCGACGCGACTGATCAACCGGAAGCCGCTTTTCGTTGGCTCTAAGTTATTCCCCGTAAAAAGCGTGTACTTGGACGACTTATCGGATTGGTTTCCAAGCCTATCGCGACGATGTCAGAAGGAAATGGCTTTCATGGAAGGTCAATTTCGTATGCTTTCAACAAGTCGTGTGAGCGCAAACAGTGAAGTGGCAAAGAAAGCAATTTTGCAAATTCACGAAAAGCAGTTGATCGTAATCGAGGTCATGGTGTGTCTGCTGATCGAGAGTCAGCGTTCTCAGACTGGATCACAGTGTTTCCTAATATTCTTGCCTGGTGTCGGAAGCATTGACACGTTGTATGAATCGCTGAGCCTTCTTGCCATGGGCCACCGCAACGTCCAGGTGTTGGTGCTGCATTCGGGGATAGAACTGGAGCACCAGCAGGAAGCGTTTAAATTGCTAGGGGAGAGATCTACTAAAATTATACTGTCCACGAACATTGCCGAGAGCAGTGTGACCATCCCGGATGTTACGCATGTAATCAACTGCGCAACCGAGAAGCAGATTGAGATGCCAAATGCAGGTAAATCGCATGCGGAGGTTTTGGTACATACGTGGTGCTCGCGCGCCTCTGCAGTGCAACGTTCGGGGCGTGCTGGTAGAGTCATGCCTGGCACCTCGTTCCACCTGTTCACGAAGCCGTTCCGTGACCTGTGTATGGCTGAATTCAACACCCCAGAATTATTGCGTAAGCCGCTCGACCGGACTGTGCTACAATTGAAGGGACGGCTTCACCAGTTTGGGGTTCCCAGCTTGCTTCTCCAGCAGGCTTTAGATGCCCCAGACATTTCTCATATTGGCGGAGCTTACAAGTTGCTGTCTTCATTCGATGCGATTGACTCTGATGAGGAAGAGAATTCTCGTCTGACGAGATTCGGTTCATTTGTCTGCCAGATGCCTCTCAGTCTTGAGCTGTGCCGACTTCTCATGACGGGCGCGTACATGGTTCATGACACTTCTAGCGGGAATGAGAAGTGGCCGCTGTTGCTGAATGTTGTTGTACTAGTTGCAATTCTTGCCGCACCAGATCTGTTTGCGATGCCGTCCTTCTATCATGCACAGTCCGCGCAAGCTTATATGCAGGAAATGAAGAAAAATCTGCAAGCCAAGCTGAAAATGGATGATGGAATGTGGAGCGAGCCGCTATCTATCTGGTTGTTTTACATGAATACAATCAGTGAACAATCGTCAAACAAGAGGCGTAGCTTGAATTCCGTTTTCTACAAGATGTCAATTTCTGCTCGGCGGTATCAGACACTAAACTTTCTGATTTCGGATCTGTGCGCCCGCCTGATTGCGCTGTCGAAGAACAAAACCGACGAGTTCAGCCAGCTTCTGGACGCGCAAACGGTCGTGATGCTGACCAAGTTGGATGTATACGCAAATTCCCAGCGGATTGACAAGGAGCTTTTAACGTTTGCTCGAGATGTTGTTGCTTGCAAACGTAATGAAGTGCGTGTCCTCCGATTCTTGATCATTCAGAATTTCGGTGAGCATCTCATCGGGAGTTCACGAGCGCAGCCAACCGCGTGTGCGAACGATGTTCTTGACGGTACCGATCGCGTGGATTTGAAAGTGGGCAAAGAAGAAGCTGCAAGTTTTCGCTCTCTTTCCGTCGAGAACAAAAGTAGACTCTTTCACCAGCTCGCCAGCAGCGCCACACCGACAGATGAACTTGCAGCCATTACCCACGTGGACAACGTTGTGTCGGTCTACTCCTACGCCACGCTAAAAAGTGATGAGGGATGTGTACCCGAAGAGAACTGCTTTAGTGAAGTGACTGCAGACACATTATCGAGAATGAGCTTTCCAGTGTCGTTGATTTACTACATCCGTGGCGAGGGCTTCCCTGTGACTATCGGCTTGAGAACGGAATCCGAGCAAAGTGAGGTTGCATTTAAGATGCGCGTATCGCGAAGTAATTCGTGCGGGTTGAAATGGGAGCAGCTTAAAGACAACGTTAAAGCATCCGTTGGTAACCGCAGCCTGTTCTCATTGCCTGTCCGCCCACGATTGGAGGAAACGAGGAAGGGGGAGAAAGAGGCAAAGCTGCTGGCGGTTTATGCCAACCGACTGTTCACCGGTGACGAGACGAAAATGCGGTGCGACTATTGCACGTTGCTCCCACCAAGCAGCGTGTGCTACTACCCGATTATGTTGCTGGTCACCGCTCCGCGCCACGCCAATATTCAGCTGCATATGGATACTGTAGCAGGAGTGATCTTGCTGGTAAAGGTGGGGGCTCAAGACGCGACCTTCCCTCGCAAGATGGCTCTTAAAATGGAAGTGTTAGCGACTGTCAATGCGGTGCGCGCCGCGTTGTCAGATGCGCTTAACGCGACAGTTGGGGCTCGAAGACTGTGTACGTCTGACTTGTTGGCATTAGCGGACGACTCTGTCTTTTTGACGAAGGAGAGCAAAGTGAATGTGAAGCATTGCAAGTGGGAATGCTTATCGATGGATATGCCCGATAAAACAAAGCTGGCTGAAGGGGAGACACCGGCTCGTTTTCCGGCGCTATATATAAGATAAGGTATGAGCTGCTTGGGCATGTGTAACTGAGTGGTGGACGTGTGAGTGTTACGGTGCGGTATGCCGCGAGACTGAAAGCTGCAGAAGATGGAAGGCGTGTAAATCAATCCATCATCTCTGAATCTACTTCGTGCGTGTACTGTTACGAAGCCAAACGTTTCTTCGACCATATTGCCATCGATGTATCAGGTGCTGCACCGCTAACGGTTGGCGTAGCGTGGCGTGCAAGTCGTCATGTTCTTTTGATTTACGTTTTCGCCACACTGCGGTGTTGGAGAGATGACCTGGCGAACATTGCGCTGAAACTTCTTGAAGTCAACAACTTCCGCTGTCGTGAATCAGGGTCATCAGGCGTATTCGATCATTTGACTGCACGCGCTGGAGGCCCGTCCGGCCCGCAAAGAGCAATTGACGAGCTGAGATAGTTCACTTTCCGCCATGGATATCGTTTCCCGCTAAGCCTAGCGGCGTGGTTGCCAACGGCCAGTAATGTCAGAGTTTACTTGTGAGCACTTGTCGCGCGCTTTGGATAGTCGCACGCTCTTATGTGCTGTCTTTTATGCAGACAGAACAAAGTGTGACAAGCTGCAGCGACGACGTGAAACGCTGAATGCGCAGGCATGCAATCTGTAAGCTACGAGAAAGCGTTATGGCCCGCTAGGCAGAATGCATTTGCGGCAAATGTTATAAGAATGCTACTGCAGAGTGCCATGCTACACCTCACAGCTTCCTGCCGGCGCTGAGCTACCCCAAGCGCAGCTCTATGCTGTGTAGTGCTAGATTGCTGTTAGACTACCGGACGCAGAGGCTACAAGTGGGGCGGCGTGAAAGTCATTCTAGCTGGTGCTTGAAACTGGTGGTCGAGATGTTGGAGGTTGGTAGACCATCCTCGCCACTCCCGCGTACTCAACCAACTCGGGTCTTCTCACGGTGTGGTATCGTCGGTACTTGATGTGTTTGCAGGGAGCAGAGGTCGCTTATAGCTTTGACAGAGACAGGTGAAAGAACATGTGAATTAACGTCAAACGAGGTGCCACGTCGTGTCCCCACAATGCAGTGAATTATAACGTCCACATACGTCCTGCTACACCGTAAGCTGCGCACACAATTACTCAAAATCGCTGTCGTCCGCATCATCCAATGCGAAACTTTCTTCCTCGTCATTGTTCCCATCCTGGTCGCTGCCCTCACCACTCGATACTTCGTCATACACGACGCGCTTGTGCGCGCGGAGTTGACGCTTCGGACGAGGAGCTACTGGCGAAGCAAGAACTACATCATCGCCGGCCGCGCCATCACTATTATCACTCTCCTCTTCAAGTGGCGACTTCTTCGGCTTCTTCTTGACGGCTGTAGCCTTCTTTACCGGTGCGGCCTTCTTGGGTTTCGCAACTGGTTTCTTAGCAGTTGGTTTACGCGCAGGAGCCTTCGGCTTTGCTGTGGACTTCACCGCAGCCTTCTTTTCCTCGTCATCTGACTCCATCGCAAAGACGTCATCATCATCATCTACGGGAGCAGTCACGTTGTCGTCGAAATCCTCCATATCAATCGTCGCACCAGGCTTGGTTGAGTGTTCTGGCTTTGGTGTCAAAGTTGAAGCAGACGCTGCATTCTGTGGAGAAACTTTGAGTCTTCGAGCAAGCCGCTCGGCGAGTGAAAGCTCTTCGACCTCTTCTTCGCGTTTCTTGACTGCTGGTGGTTCCTTCGATTGGAAAAACGCAGTTATGGCGCCTGATTGGGGCCCATTGTCATTCGATTTGGGCCCATTGTCATCCGATTTGCTTTTACTTGTACCGCCAGCCTTGTTCATGGCGGACTCCTTCTTAGCTGGCCGCTTGGCTGGAGCCTTTGGCTTGGCCTTTGCGCGAGGCTTCTTCACCCCCTCGACTTCAAAGTCAGAATCATCATCGACGTCTTCATCATCGCTGTCATTCTTATTCTTCCTCTTCCTCTTTTTCGTAGCAGCTTTCTTACCCCTGCCACCATTTTTCTTGAATGTATGCGACAAGACCTTCTCTCGTTCCTTTTCCGTCTCGATCAACATGTTTTCCAAAGCGTCAAGGTCTGTGAGCCACAAATTCTCCACCGTCCTGCCTTCCAGGACAGCATACTCATTCTCGCAATCGTGAAGCTCGCGACGTAGCTTGTCGACGCGTTCCTTCGTCAGGCTCCAGATCTTCATCGATAGCAAGTAGTCGTAGCCTCTGCTGACATCAGCCAAATTGTCGTCATCCTCCTCAGATTCACTCGGATCGTCGCTGTCATTCTTTTTCTTCGACTTTGATTTTGCTGTAATTTGATCGTATCCTTCTGCCACCAATTCTTCCAGAAGCTCTTGCTTTTTCCTGTTGTTCACAACCAGACTGCCGTCCACCACTGACAGAACAAAACGCGCCTTATTCGACAAAAGTTTTATCTGGTCCTGCAGTTTCTGCAGCATAGACTCCTTCCTGCGCCCGTAGTACTCTAGGCGGACGGTGTAAAACTCGTCCATGATTTCTTTGGGGCTGTCGTACTTCTTAATGTGTCCTTCTCTGTCGAAAAGATGCATGTTGGAAGTTGACAAGGACGACTCCAGCTTGAACTTCTTCACGATTCCTCCCGGTGCTTTGGCAATGTCGCTCAAAGTCTTGGGCTCCATCGTAATTGTGAACAACACTTTGACGTCAGTGTGATTCTCCTTGAAATCCTTGATTGTACCCGCTTCAAGCAGCCCTTCCAGAAATTGCTTGTAAGTTTGGGTCCACATCTTGACGGGAAGTTCTGAGATTACGAGCGTGGAGTCATCCGTGATCTCGTATAGACCCTGGACGATGTAATTGCCCGTATCTACTCCACGTAAGTTCGTTTTCTCCACAATGTGACCAGTGAAACCACGATACCACGGAACAAGAGGAGCTACTTCGTCTCCATTGATCATCTTCCGCAGACTTTTGATGATGTCTAGTGGGTTGTACGTCGGAACGGAACTGGACCATCCTGTTCCGATGCCATCGGTGCCGTTGACGAGCACCATGGGGATAATCGGAATGTACCACTCCGGCTCGATCGATTGACCGTCTTCATCCAAATACTTGAGCACATCATTGTCTAAAGGATCGTAGATCTTGCGGGTAAGTTGCTCCAAATTGGTGAAAATGTAACGAGAACTTGCCGCATCCTTGCCGCCCATCAAACGCGTACCAAACTGACCGATTGGCGACAGAAGGTGAATGTTATTGCTTCCAACAAAATCTTGTGCCATATTCACGATACAGCCCTGCAAACTCTGCTCGCCGTGATGGTACGCAGAGTGCTCGGATACGTAACCTGCTAATTGCGCCACCTTGAGCTCCGACTATAATTACAGACACGCCGTCAGAAACCAACCAGAGCTATGATAAATAAAGGCATAACACGTACGCGAAGATTACGCTTGAAGCAGCAGAAAAGCACTTTTCGCTGTGAGGGCTTGAATCCATCGAGGACACTTGGAATCGAGCGAATGTTGTCGGCCATGGAAAACAGGATGAGTTCTTTGTTGACGAAACTGCCAGAGAGAAACGTGACAGATACTGTAAGACCAACGATCAAACAATACTCCAGCTAACGTTGTAACGTACTCGGTGTAACCCATGGCGTCAACATCGTAGTCGACGTGAGTCCCAGGTTCGTAGCCTCGCAGCCAGTCCTTGCGATCTTCAACGCGCTTTTTCGAGAACGCCATATCAATTACGTCCGCGTCACCATCCCCATCGTATATGAACCCGATCTGGTGAGTCGGCAGATCCGAAAAGTACTCTTTGGTCTCAGCTGCCGTGCTCGTACCCAGACCCTTATAGTACTTGATAATCCAGCCACGCCCTTGGTTCGTTCGTTCGCGCCACCCTTCGTACTCGGGCATCGTGTAGAAAACCTCCTTCGTTCGCCCTTTACTGCATTTAACAATCGGAGTAATGAACTCTTGCAAGAACCCATCTATCTGCAGCAGTGATGGCCAAAAGTGGTGAATAAGATTGATCACTAGTCCCTTGATGTGGCTACCATCGTGGTCCTGATCTGCCATGATCATCAAGTGGCCGTACCGCAAGCCCTTCGTCGACTCGTACTTCTGACCATACTTGAGACCGAGAATCTTGACCACGTTCTGAATCTCTTCGTTCTTCAAAATCTGAGTATGACTTGCTTCACGGACATTCAACATCTTGCCCCTCAACGGGAAGACGCCGTAGTAGTCTCTGCCGACGACAGCAAGACCGCCAACAGCAACAGTTTTGGCAGAATCCCCCTCTGTCACAATCAGTGTGCAATCCTTGCTTTTCGCTGTTCCTGCATGATTAGCGTCATCCAGCTTGGGGATACCCGTCAGTCGTGACCGCTTCCCACCGTTTCCACCTTTCCGACGCAGCTCTGCCGTCTGCTTGAATGCGGCAAAGGAGAGGATTTTTTCTACCAGCCCACTCTTTTCCACTTGCTTCAAGAATTTGTCGCTCAGGTTGAAAGTCGATCCAAAGCTGTTGGCTCTTGTCGTCAGCGTCTCTTTTGTCTAAGCCATACAAAACATGTCAGTCAATCAGTGTAACTGTGATACAACACAGTCGTGCATACCTGGGAGTCAAAGGCGGGGTTCTCGATGAGCGCGCTCACATAGATAAATATGTGATTCTTAATGTAGTTTGGCTTGACAGCGTCACCCTTGTTCTTCTTTTTCAACACACTGACAAGTTTGGTTGCGATTTGGTCCACAATGTAGTTTACGTGCTGACCACCCTTTGTGGTGCAGATGCCATTAACAAAGCTCACTTGCTGAAAACCATCTTCACTCATGCCAACTCCAACCTGCCAGCGCTCATCTGGCTTTTCAAATATCACGCCATTCTGTGTAACATTCGACGGTTTGACTTTGGTCGCCTTCACCTTCTTCGGGTTTTCTTCACTGTAATCTTCGTCATCATCGCCACCACCACTAGTTTCTTCCGGAGAAACGTCGTCCTCGCCCTCGTTTGTGTCCCTTTCAGCTTCGAATCCACGAGGCCCAGGGTACAGCGCGACATATTGCGGAAACGATTTGATGGGGATCTTCTCGCCATTGAGGAAGACGTTAAGTCCTTTGCCCGAGACACCTGCGACATCGTATACACGCTTTTTGAATAGCGAGACGATATCGCCATTAAGAAAATTCAGTTTGAACCGTTCCAGATCAGGCTTGAACGAGATGCACGTGAAATCTTTTTGAGCCCACTTTGTAATCGAAGGTGGGTTTTTCTTGCTCATGTTGCTCTCGAACACTTGTCTGTACCGCTGTTTCGTACTCGAGTCCGCTGTCTCCACAATGAACTCGTTCGAGAAGATGTTGGCGAGTTTAGCACCGTAGCCATTCCGTCCACCAGTCGTTTTCTTCTTCTTGTCGTCAAAGTTACTGCCCGTGAGCAAGTGACCAAAGATCAGTTCGGGCACATAAACCTTGTGCTCTTTGTGCAATACAATCGGAATGCCTTTGCCATTGTTCCAGACCGAGATCTCGTTCTTCTCCTCATCGATCGTCACCTTGAGCGTGTTCATCGACTTGTCCCGCTGCTTGTTGTCACACGCGTTGACAATAATCTCGTCAAAGATCTTGTACAGACCCGGGACGTACGTGATCCTCTTCATGACCATCCTCTTCGTCTCGTCATCAAACACCCACATGGTCTGCTCCACGTGCTCGATAGAGCCCACGTATGTGTCAGGCCGCAGCAGAATGTGCTCCAGCTGTGACTTCTTCTGGTAAATCTGCTCGATACTCTGCTTGGCCGTGCCCGTGTCCCCCACCGACTCAACAACTTCTTCATCTCCACTGGCCTCTACATCGTACACGGAGCCATCGTCACTCTTGGTGTCCGACAGGGCGTCGCTGTCATAAGCATCCGTCAGCTTCTTTTGCTTGACTGGCTTCTTCTTGATCGTTGTCTTCTTGGCCCCCGCTGTCACTTTGCCAACTGCTGATGCCGTCGTCTTTGTCTTGCGAGGTGCGGCAGCCTTTTTCTTCCCGTTAGACGGCACTTGGGGGCCCTAGAGTCGGATATTGGATTCAATATGGGCAAGAGAGTGGTAAGAAAAAAAAAGATATCGAATCAGCAACTAGAAGCAGAGTGGCCAGCGAGCAGCAATGGAGAGGGGATGAGGTAGACGCACGCTATCGTTCAATTCGCTCATGGCTGCGGCGTCTTGCGGACGAGGGGACGAGGGGGAAACGCTCTCGTCCGAGTGCCTGGGTGCTGCTTGTTGCTCTTGAGTGCGGAATGCAAAATGACGTCCGGCGAGTGAAAGCGGCGGGCAAAAATCTCGATATTTTGAACTGCAATGTGGACTAAACAGCTGGTGGCTCTTGATGGCGCAAGATTGTGTGAGTGGATGGGCGTTGGTCGAGACACAGAGGCAAGAGAGGGTTACATCCGATGGATCTTCCTGCGCCGGAGGATAATAGTGCCTACCTGGTTTTGAAACTGCGAGAAGATCTGGACCAGGAGTCGATGTGACGGAGATCTGAGGACCGTTCTTTCAAACGAAAACGCTCTGAGCTTGAGCGAGTTGTGGACTCAGCTCGAGTCATCATTACGGATTGGTGTGAGGGAGGAAGCATATAACATTCTCATATCGACATGTCCGTGTCAAACACAGTGACGACATTGGACGACTCACTTCGTGCAGTAAAACACCACGACCGATCTACTGTTGCCAACACACCACAGAACATCACCAAAAACGTCGATATGTTCGTCAGGCTAGCACATCATAATGCTGTCCGGGCCTAGAACAGCTCCCGATGCATCGCACCTTTCTTCACTGTCACGTGAAGTAGCGACCAGGAAGTCTGTAAACTAAACTACAAACAAACTGCAACGATCGCATTGACGGGCACATACACCTCAGCGAGAAACGATCGTACGGTATCGACAGCGATCAATTCTTGCGATGAAATGCTATCAACGTCGCCTGAGATTGCAGTGTCAACGAAGTCTGGGAGGCGAACGAGACTCATTAGAAGTTGAGACGGCACGTGTCATGTGGCTGGAGTGATAATGACTCACACGTGTCTGTTTTGCGCTCAACGATGGACGGTTGATATTCACACGACGGTAAAATCATTGAGCCGCGAGTTCTGATAGTACCAAAACCGTCGTGTCTCGTTGGCGAGATTGAAAAAGTTTTCTGCACCTAACGTGACGCGATTCGTACGTCAAGAGGCTTCGCCGTTGTTGTACCGGCCTCGGGATGATACAAAGAGGCACCTAAAGACTGGGCCGTTTTGGATAAATGCATTGTCTCATCGATAGTTCGTCCAAAGAAACCTACACAAATCAAGCAGTGGTTAAGCATTGTGTAAGATTGTTCTTCCTATACTACATGTACTCGATCATTAGACCGTTCCTCACTGTTGCATCACATGCGCCTTCTCTTCGACACACGGCCGATAGATTCACCGTCGTATACGTAATCGATTTATATAGACGTCGACATAGCTGCCACGTCACAGACGAGTACTCTGCCATGGAAAATAAATTGGGGACGTGTAAGTATACAAGTGACCACATGACGCCGATAGACGCTGATGACTTCCGTTGCCTATACCTTTGTGCTCATTTCTACGATCGTAAGTGCAGTAGAGCGGGCTAGATAGCGTTACACCCTGACAGTGTCGTCGTCAAACCCCACGCTTTGGAAATAGCGCAACGACGGCTCGATCTTCGCACGCCAATTCTTATAGTCATTCGGCTTGGAGAGGTCTGCAAAATATGAATGCATGAAAGGCAAAGGTCTCGTATAGTTGACAGTTTTGTTGTTCGTCGTACGGGGTAAAGAGAAAGTGTTGCTCACTCGATGACGCTACAATAAGTAAAGGTTTTAATTACACATGTCTCTCTGTACGCGACACATGAAGCCAGAAAATTCGTCATTTCTCATTCCTCCAAGTTGATACTAGGTGCATACTAGGAGGAAATCTGCTACATGTTTATTGTAACGGGGCACCCTTTGTTTGGGGTGCCGCGAAACTTTACGTACACTAGTACGTGCAGAGGAAGCTAATCTACCCAAACAGCTAGTTTGAGTAAAGGGTGAAAAGAGAACTGCATTTAATATAGTTAAGCTATCGATATAATTTTAATCTTTATCTGACTACGTTAAACTATGTCGTCGTATGACGACAACCTGCTCATCACTCAATACGCGCGTCTAACAGCGAAGGGTAATAAACCTTGGTTATTACGTCTTTTTACAAACCAATCTTTGAGCAGCGCATGAATATTATCAACAAGGGGATGATAACTCTTTTAAATTATCCGTCTCGGATAATATCGGTAGGATATTGACATGCTAGACAATATCCCTATTGACACCGTTTGGTGTCAATTCCATGTAACGGGCTACCCCGTTGCATCACCCCCCTTGACCATCAATCACCCGTTGATTAAATAGAATTGATTGGGACAGGGTGACCACCATTATAATACTCTGAGAAGAAGAGCATTTGTTGGGAAATTTCCAACTCATTTGCCAATTCATCGCATGGTGTCACATCCCATGCGATGTGCTGCCGAAGCAGCAAGAAAAGTGGTTGCACGCATGCGTGCAGTCGGAAAGAGTTCTTCTCTTGCATCAGCAGCAGGTGATGCTTCGCCTGCTGTTGCGATATAGCAACAGGCGACGCCTGTTGTGAACAGTCCACATGGTGAGTCACCACGTGCGACAAGTACAAGGCGACACCTCAAGCCTCCGGATCAACCAGGGCGGACACTGTAAGAGCCAGGTTGACTGGCTCTGGGAATATTGGCGGCATCATGCTCGAGATCTTCGGAACGAGCGATTGTTCCGACGAATCCTCGCCTCACGCGAGTCCATCCAACGATAGGACGCGTGGTGATGGTGGCGATGCCTCTATGCATCTCCACGAGAGGAGCAACTCGAGAAATCGAGCTACCACTGGTGTCAGTGCTCGTGCTGACACCACTCAAGAGGCCAGGGACCGAAATGTCCTGCGCCACGCTTCCCAAGTGGATTTTCCTTGGATGCCGGCATCCAAAGAGTTGGACCGGTTGGTCGGCATGATATGATCGGGATCGAATCCCGTGGTTCGACTGTAGGAAGATTTGCCCTCCTAATTCCAGCACGGAAACTATCCGTGCTGAGAGAGAATTATTCACCGACGTGTTCTGCAAACATCGGTGGTACAATGGCAACCGTGGTCGAGACGGTAAGGCCTTGGTGCAAGGATGGAATGCCCTCATCCATAACATCGAGTGCATTGGCCGTGACGCCTGGATCGGTAAACTTGATGTAGCTTGCTTCAGGTTTACAAAAAGTAAGCCAGTCGGTGTACAGTACAAGTTGCATCGACTGTCAAAAGAGGCAGAATACTCAGCCTCTCGTGGGGTGATCGGTGTCCAACGACGGGGAAGCAGATCCTTAATATGATGGCGTGCTGGCCTCTCACCTTTTTCCCATGCACTTCTCTATGACCCTGGTTCAAGACACGGCGGCGAACCTGCTCGAGTGACTGAAGGACGCGTCATTCTCTTTGTGTGGAGGTAGGCGTATATGTCGAAGACGAAATCGAAGTGCTTGAGAATGTTGCCATAGACGCCGATGCAGCCCGTAAGGAAGAGCCAATGTGGACTCATAGCACGGATTTGCCTAGTGTCATGTAAAGCTTGTACCGAAGGCGCTCGAGTCTGGCCCGTTCACGTTCGTGTTCGGATGCGTGGAGCACGGCGGACACGACCTGTGAATGGATTGGCTGAAGCTACCCAAAACCAAGCAGATCGTCTTCATCGTAACAAAATCAACAGCTTGCATCTGCTGACGTCGATGTTCGACGTCTGCTGCGTCGAAAAGCTACACAAGATGTAAGTGATTTTGTTTGCGAAAATATTATGGTGCGCTGTTCTTGCCATGCTCAAGCGCAACCTGCTGGCAAATCCGTGCTGATAAGCATGCCACACGTTATAGATCATGATGATAAGTTTGAGGACGTGACAATGGAGACCCGGTCCGCAACTTTTATCCTCGACGTCTCGCACTAAAAGAAGACGGCCGCAGTGATGCTGCTTCTGACACCACTGTACGCCGCAATCACGTACTTTTAAGGAGGATGGGGAGACTTTCTCAGCAGTATGGGCGTGTTTCGCTTATTTCACGCATCACATACTTTTCATCGATCAGGCAATTCTCACCCATCTCGATGCGGACCGCGACACGTTACTCGGTTTGCCCATCATCGCGTTGGCACAATCTACACGACGGCTCATGCGCTTACCTTTGTCACCGACCCTTTCTACTACAGCACGCGCATTAACCTGGTCGGTTTGCATGGACCATCCTTCCTCGAGCTGGACCAGGGTCCAGTCTTTTAGCGGTACCGTGCGGTGCTGGTAGAGATCGCCGCCTGCGACCATGAGTGCTGCGACCTTGTGCTGGAATATTTAGCGTACGTTATCGCGATGTGCATGGAGGGCACGAACATCCTGGCGTCGCGCAAGCTGAAGTTAGCCTTAAGTTCGGAGCAAGTCGATGACCACGATATGTGCAATAACGCCGTGTTCTCGTACAAGTTTATATAGACCCGGTCGATGCCGTAGGTGGCGAGCGAAACGAATAAACGAACGTTCGAGTGCGCACTAAGCAGCTTCTTAGTCTTGGTCTCGAGGAATGCGAGAAACAGGTTGCCGTCGTCTACAACTCGGCGCAGCTGAACGGTCGTTGGCCAAGCGTTCGAGTGCGCACCGAGCAGCTTGTTAGTCTTGGGCTCGGCAAATGCAAGAAACAGGTTGGCATCGCCTACAACTCGGCGCAGCTGAAACGGTCGTTTGTCAAGAGACGTTCCGATCTATGCGACACGGTTGTAGCCGCGACCGACGAGAAAGAGGAAGAGCGACGCCTGCAACGGTTAGCCGAGCAGGAGCAGGAGCAGGAGCAGGAAGAGGTGGAAGACGATATCGGCTGAGGCGAGTTCCGAATGACCGACGACGCCTTCGCCATCCTGTTTCCGTACCTGGGCGACGATTTGTAGAGATATTATGGAGGAATGCATGATCTGATCTAACTATAAAAACGTCACACAATCACGAGCTGACGGCCGCTTCTAGCAATCTGACATTTTTTTATTAAATTTTTGTGTAAATAGTGTTCGATATCAAATTATTTGAAATGTGCCGGCATTCAAAACGCTTAATATTCGATCTTTATCAAACGTTTTAAATGCCGGCACATTTCAGACTAATTAGATATCGAACACTAGTCATGACGGCATGCCATAGGAACGTCGGTATCATCACCAAAATCAGTCTAATTCATGCATCGCACGTACGTCACATGAACGACTATATCAATTGCAGACTTCATCAATTGCAGACGACAAACCAAACGACTCTTCGATCGGACGTGGTAAGCTGTTCGGGGGAAGCCCTGTGTGACTCAAGAACAAACAAGTCCGCTATCGAATGGCACTCCGATACTAACTCAACCGGATTCCAGTGACAGGCTTATTTCCATGATGCGAGGCAGAACGATATTGTTGGTACAAGTACACCACTTGATGATTGAGAGCAAGTCGTCTCAAGACGTGGTGGACGAGAGTAAAATCAGCTCGAGAGTATTGAGACTAAGACGCTATGAAGAGCCTTCTCCTGATCGGGTCAAACCCTACAGCTTCATGGTACAGCAGCACCCTGATTCGCCATCAAACATACGAATCCGATCTACGTCCGATGGTAGTCCGGACTGGATAACGTCGAGCTCAGGTGCTCTGCCTGCACTTCGACCGTCTCCAGCTGCGTCTCCGCCACACGCAGCAAGAACCTATTCACGCACCCTCATCAATCAGATCCCTATATAACAGCCCACACTCGTTCTAATTCATCACAGGTACGAACGCAAGTCGCTCCGGATCCGTCACCTCCCGCGCCACTTCATACTCATGGCGCAAACGACGCCGCACGTACTTGACGCGGTCGCGTGTGGGCATCTTCCCTGCTGCCTGCACCACACCAGTAAAACACACGGCAAGTTTCATCGTTAGTATCTCTTACAATGCATCGCTAACCACTAATTCAGCCACAAAAAGTAAAACAACAGCAAAAGAAGGAGAAGTAGCCTCGTACATACCCGATAGATGGCACGGTACAGACGCAGAGCTTCTGCCATTCTAATACTGTGTCAGTGCTGTAGTAACGACGTAAGTAATTTATGCGGAGTCAGGTACACCACACCACAGTTACGTACATTTAGTGTTGTCATTCCAATGTCCACCCGTCACCTGCGCCACGTCGCTACGCGCTCGTCCCAGCAACTGTCCCGGGCCATGCTCTCGACCGCTGCGGAGAAGAAGTTTTACATTCTGCAGTACGAGTACGTGCAGGACATTGCAGACCGCCGTGGCCCTTTTCGCGCGGAACACTTGGAGCGTGCGGGGAAAGCCAAGCAGAACGGACACATCGTGATGGGCGGCGCGCTCGTGAACCCTCTGGACGCTGGCGTCTTTATCTTTAACGTGGCGGACAAGAACGTGGTCGACAAATTTGTGAAGGAGGATCCGTATGTCGTCAATGAACTGGTCACGTCGCACTCGATTCGTGAGTGGATGGTCGTTGTTTGAGGAGGACCAAGCAAGAGAGAGAGAGAGAGAGATGATGATGGGAGCCACTTTCTCTGATGTGTCGTCGTCTCCTTTGGCTGCTGATTTTACAGAGGCAAAAGCATCTGGTGGTCTAGTAAATGGATGGTCGTCTTGATTGTTACTTGCCGCGTGTGTGCTGTGTATCTCTTGAGTACTCACTCTTCTTCTTCTCCTGCTGCTGCTATGGTGATGGTCGAAGACGTGAGCTTGGAGTTGCAACTATTGCAACGGGCTGAAGGGTTCGTTGTTGATGAAGCGTCGCATCATGTCCAGCGAAGCCTCCGGCTGGTCAGTAGGTACCAGATGACCCGAGTTTAGCACCACCACGAAGCTCATGTTACCGGCAGCCTTGACGAGTCCTGCGACGTGACCGTCTACTATCCAGGGCTGCCGCTTGGCCACGCGATATTTGGCCGTGTCCGTCCACGCAAGTCGATCTATGATTCGTCCTACACCTAAGTTGTTGCAAACCGAGCCGTCCATGTTGCCTGCGTAAAAGAGGAACTTGTAGTTGTCCAGCAGGTCACGAAACACATCGATGGGCACGTCTAGCATCTCGTCCGGCAGCAAGTGACGTACGAGTGCCGGTGCTGATGGTGAAGTGCCGTAAGCAGATCCGTCCACCGAGTTCCACAATGTGCCCGGGGGTACGTTCAGTGCTCGACGCACTGCGTCGTCGTTAAAAAAGCTCGAAAGCAACGCGCTCAGGTCCGTGAATGCGTTGCCTGACTGACGGATGTCATAAATATACGGGTTCCCTGCGGCCTCATAAATCCTCTCCGTGACAGCTTGGCAGACCTGGAAGGCGTCCACGTCGCGTCCTTGTCGGTGCAGTTCTTCGCAAATGCTGATCTGTGCATTCGCATTTTCATACTGCTGTGAATCAATCAACCCCAGCGCGATAGCGAAGTCCGGCACAGAGCGAGTTTGCAACACGGGCCACATGTTACCGTTGCCAATGGCGACCCCCGTCAAGTTGATTTCGATGTCGTCCTCGTCCAGTGCGCCACGATTCTTCACATGGATGTAGTACGAGACTGACGGAGCATATTTGCCGGCGTATGACTCTCCGCATACGTACAGCGGATTATGCTGGTACTCCGGATGACGCTTATAAAACTCTTGGAGTCCTCGATAGAGTTGTTCTGACACCTGCTCCTGCGTATTCACGTGCCCGGCCTGGTCGCGCACAGACGAGTAGCCGGTACCAACTGGTTGGTCAAAGAAGAGCATGTGACCAACATTGGTCCACGAAAATTTGTGCGGTATCAGCTTCCGTTCTTTGGTAAGTCGATAAGGTCCCATCTCCGCAAGCAAACCAGTCATTGATGACGCCCCAGGTCCGCCATTGAGCCACAGTAACAAAGGCGTTCGCTCGTCAACCTGCATTGGTGCACGTGTCTCGAAGAACCAGTAGAACAGCTTGCCTGCGTAGGTGCTGTTGACTTCAACCAAGCCAGCATACTGTTTCCACACACCACAGCCAATAATAGACATATAGATCCATGCGACTCAGTACTCCACAACACAAGTGCACAACTCAGCACCAGCAGCCACAATGTGGCATGAAGTCAACACTAGCATCAGAGCCGCAGCCACAATGTGGCATAAAGTCAACGCTAGCATCAGAGCCGCAGCACTAAAGTAAACAAGCACCACCTCCCCTCGAATCGAACCTCTAAAGAACGCACCTGTTTCTCCAACGGTGCGCCAAAACCCGGTAGAAACAGCACAGTATCCCCAGCTCCAGTGTTCCCAGTCCGACCATCAATTGCCGCTGCCAGCTGCACCTCTTCAGCTGCATTCTGCACCGTAGCGAACAGCGTTGATCTACCAATGGTCGAGATCGAAAGAGCCAATAGAATCCCAGCAACTGTAGCAGTGCGAATCACGAACGGCGTCATCCTAGTGGAGAAAACGCCAGAGATGCGTTCACGTCTGGACGCCTGTGCAGCTTCTGTGTCTATGGAGGAATCTGGTGAAGGCCACAGCGCCGTGTTCTCCGTGACGGCCATGGACTGAAAGAGTTGAGCGATTCACTCGACCTCTTTTGATTTGTATGCGATCCTCGATTGTTCCGAAGCTCCTGAAAGCCTACAGCTCAAGTTGAGCTGTTCGGTTAGTACTAACTGCTACTGCTACTACTACTACAACTGGTACCCTCCGTGTCGGTTTGGGATCTTTTTACGAGTGACAAAGACCTGGCGCGAATCAGACCCGCAATGTCGACGGGATATCCGATTCGCCAGGAATTAATTTATAGGGTAAAAGTCGCTTATTCAACGCGACTTGTCCACGAGATTTACAAAACGATTTGGAAAGGTGTATCGAATGGAAAAGGGATCGCGACTAGTTCGCTCACACGCTACGTCGACGCGTCCACGAGCTTGGCCACTACTGTGGCATTTTGCTTTGCGATTTGCATGCAGTGCTGCATCACGTCGGGTGCTACAATTGTACCACCAGCTTTAAGGACGCCACAAATCTGGCCCTCAGTAGTGAACGCGATGCTCACCACGGCACTGGCGAGATCTTCTTCTTCGCTAGTCGGATCGATCAGCACCGTGCTATCCACGACAGCGAACGAGGTCGCGTACGCACCGAACCGTACACAGAGTGGCATAGTGTCTCCGTCTGCATGCAAAAGGACGACACAAACATGAGCATCCTGGTCCACTCCAAGCCCAACGATGCAACAACTAGTGCCGTACCTGGCACAATCGAGACGACATTATCTGCCTCATTGATCGATGTGGCTGGCAGCTGTAGCGTTTTAAGCGCCGCCATGATCGATGCGAGTGCAGCGTCCAGCACGTTGCCATCGTGGTTCACACAGAAGACATCCACCATGAGTTTCCATGCTGACTGACCCTTAGCAATGCTCAGGTCCTCCATCTCCACGACACGCGAGCTACAGCAGTGGCATCATTAGCCCAGCCACTCTCCTCTCATTACAATACTCACGCTGGAACATCAAGACCCACTGCATTAACGTACCCAAGGACGATCCTCGTGAGTTGACTGCCAATACTCTGAGCCTCCTCGGAAGGTCGGCCGACTGAGAACCGGTTCGAGCATAGAGGTGTTAAATGTACCTGAATAGCTGCCAACCCAAGTGCGTTAGTAAAAACCCATCTGACAAAAAGCACACCTTCTTCATTTTTATACCACACACATATTTATGTATCACACACCAATTTCTCCTTGATCAGGTGTAGCCACTGCGGGTGTACCCACTGCCAATTTGATGGCTGTCAATACTGACGTCTTGCCGAGCTTTACGAGGCTGGAACTGGCTGCCGTCTGGACCACGTTCGTCTGCAGCTGAGTCGTGCGCGTGGCTTCAATCGATCGCCCATCTACCCGCACGTTGCTGTCCAGACACTTGCGCGCATACTCAGCTGGGAAGAGCCTTTTGAACGCCTGTGCACTGAACGATAGCGTCTCGTGGCTGGGAGTCGCCATGAGTGTAGTGATAGATGAATAGATAGATATATAGATATATAGATAGATAGATAGAAAATAGATGGATAGAAAAATAGATGAATGAAAATTAATAGAAAATAGATAGATAGATAGCTCGATAGATAGGGGAATGAATAGGGGATTCGAAATAGACGTCAGTTAAACGAAAACAGTGAAATGTAATTTACAAGAAAGAAAATAAAAGATGATCTGGAAAGGTTTACGATCTGTACGGATGTAGGCCATGCATATCGCCTGGAATTCGACCCGATTATTGATTATTCAAGAAGTGTTAAGTACTCACACCTCTTCTGATTCGATTCACACCCTTGCCAAATCTGACGTTCGCACCCCTTTTGCCACACCAGTTTCTTTATTACGTCGCCAGCATGTGACAACTCTGCCACCATACATTACGATCCTACATCATCAAAAGCCTTACCTACCAATACACTGGAGAGAAAAGACGTGTATACTGTAACGGAGTAGCCCGTAACATGATATTGACATCGAACGGTGCCAAGAGGGATATTGACTAGCATGACAATACACTACCAATATTATCCGAGGCGGATAAGATTAAAGGAATATCATCCCCTTGTAGGATAATATTCAAGCGCCGCTCAAAGATTGGTTGATACAAAACTATCAACCACAAATTACCATTTCGCTGCTAGACGCGCGCAATGAGTGGTGAGCAGGTTGTCGTCATACGACAACGTAGGCTAATATAGTTCGATAAAGACTGATTTTAAAATGATAGCTGACCTATATTAACTACAGTTCTCTTTTTACCCTTTACTCAAACTAGCAGTTGAAGTAGATTAGCTTCCTCTGCACGTACGAATGTACGTGAGGTTTCGCGGCACCCCAAAAAAAGGTGTCCCGTTACACATACTGGATAAACTTTCTGGTGACACAAAAGATACGTGTTGGAGACACAAGACATACATGCTGGCAACGTAAGAGGTATAGATGAATGATCTAGCACAGTCGTAGACACCTCCTCCTAGTCATATAATCTATTATCATTTTGATCTTCTCCTGCCGAGGTTTAACTTCAGCACGTACCCTCTAGCAGACCGCACAACCCAAACCCCGGGCGTGCGTATCATTCTGATCATATTGAGCACAACACCTCTCCACGATCTACAACTGACAAACCCGACCACCGAGGATGGGACGCAATAACAAAGACACCTACGTGATGTAAACGGCTTTAACCACACCAGCGGCAAACGATGCTCCGGCTAAAACTATCATTTTCAAGATCATGAAGATTCAAGGCGGCATTGCGAGCGAGTGGCTACGATGGTGTAAACAATTTCAAAGCCTCGCTCGGAAGAAGCTTTGGACAGACGAGCAAAAATTCCACAACCTAGTGGCGCTCATTGAGTACAGCTCGAAACAGAGGTGGAGCTTACAGCTTACAACGCAGTTGCGTACTGACAGATCTTTGAGCAGTTCTTCACTGTTGTTAGCTTTGTCTCGGTTTTAGTAAAATTCAGTGAAGACTTGGACTGTGATTTTGGCTCATAAGCAAAAAGAGGAACGAAGCGACCCCTGCGTCATTTAAATGCCTTCACGACAGTGTGCGCATGTTTGCTGAGCTCCCAAAAGACGCAGAAGTGATACATGAGGTACAGAAATGACTCTTTTCCAAGCGATCCATGTCCCGTAACTGGCAGGATGAGCTAGCGGCATCCGGTGTGCAGTACAACCGTCTTGAAGAGTTGATTCTGTACTTCTCACGAATTAAAAAAATGAGCGATCTTGCACTTACTAGAAAGGCTCACGACATGGTCCGTCTCCTCGACACCGGGATCAAAGTAATGAACCAAAGATGTCTCAACCTAGGGAAGCGAAACGCAACTACGGTGGATCTAACCAAGCCAAGCAAGTACGCTGGTGCAATTTCCACAAAACGGGCTTGCACAACACCACAGACTGCAACGCCATGGAGAAAAAACAAGAGTGGGCACAAACAGGCGGAAGGTGAAACCTACCACGTACCGTAAGAAGGACTAGCGATACCCACGCATTCACCGCGAAGAGAAGTCCGACTCCGACAACAACGCCTATTTGTTAAGCGAAACAGATCAAATTAAGTTTGTGGATCTCGTCAGAAAGAAGGCGCAACCAACTAACACTCTACTGCTTATGAACTTCAAGTTACGCTGAGAAGGACGCGGGTTCAAGACCCTTCTGGACAGCGGCGCATCAAAAAGCATTGTCAACAGTAATGAACTTGCCGCCAATATACAAACAGGGAGAAAGTTTCTTTCCGCATCCTTGACAAACTTCTACATGATAAGCGGACCGTCACACCTAGTGGTACTACTAGTGGTACAGTTCACTTGTCCTCAGATTAGACCTGACACGTTCATCACCAAGAGAGTTAAAGTGATCAATGACCGTACGGACGCAATGATTCTGGGACGCGACCTGATGAAATCATTAGGGTTGGTTCTGGACTTCAAAGAGAAGAATGTATAGTGAGACAATTATAAACTAAGATTGAACACCGGCAATAGTACCACACTGATATAAATTGATGAACAGCACGACCACGAATTACCAGAAAAACAAAAGACGCTTCAGATAACGCGGTCACTCTCGAGCAGCTGGTACCTTTGACATGCTCGACGACAACCTACAAAAGAAATGCCGATCGTTTCTCGTGAAATACCGTGACAGATATGACGGTCACTTTGAAAGTATGAATTTTACTGACTACAAACTACCGGTAGAACCGAATTATCACCAATCGGTTCATGCCAAACCTAACCCTGTACCCCGCAGTATCATGGAACAAGCCAAAATTTTGATCAAAGGACTTATTAATGAGAATAAGCTCGAACAAATCTACGAGTCGAAGATGGAATCCCCAGTTTTTTTTCAGGTCAAACCGAGCGGATCACTGCTGCTACTAAGCGACTACCGCTGTTGCAACAAGTATATGAAACGAGTCTTATACTATGTACCTCGCATACGTGAAGTTAACATGCGACTATCGAATGATGAGTGTATCTTGACCTTCTACGCCAACATCAATTATTACTCGATGAGATTGGCTCCAGACAGCAGACAGATCACCGCTTTCTGTCTCCTCTTTGGCAAATTTTCAGTACAAAAAAGTGCCCATGAGCGTCTCCACAGTACCCGATAAGTATCAGGCATGTACGGATCAAATATTTAACGACCTTAAGAACATCGCAGTAAAACTTGACAACGTGCTGGTCTTTCCAACGACGATAGATGACCAACCTGAACATCCAAGAATTGTGTTCGAGCGGTGAACCCGCTACGATGTGACGACTAACGGGAAATGATGCCACAATCTACGACAGGATGTGGACTACCTTGGATTACCCTGTCCGCGGAAAGTATTAAGCCTCAAACGAGAAAGATACGAGTTATAGAGAAGATCGCCATCCCGCAAAACTGAAAGGAACTACGTCAATTTCTTGGCATGATTAATTACTATCGCAATATGGTACCAAACAAATTTTCACTCTGCAAACCACTGCACGGTTAAACCAGTAACAAGATGCCATTACATGGTTGCCGAGCGATACGGCAGCCTATAAATTGATTCAACAGGCATTTGCTGAAGCAGTACTACTGTACTTTCCAGATACTGCCAAGCCATTTGGCGTCTACGCGGACTCAAGCGGCAAACAGATTGCTGGAATGGTCATGCAAGAAACAAATCATTTCTTACTACATATAAGCCCCACCAAGCATCAAGACGACTACACGGTCACAAGAGCTCAAACTGCTCTCTGTCGTTGAAATTGTGCATGAGTTAATAACCATGCTACTTAATGTTCCTGTGATCGTTTATAAAAACACAAGAAATTGATCTGCCCGACGGAGACAAGCTCAGGAGTCAAGCGATGGGATATTTTACGAGCTGAGTACCAACTTGCAATGAAGTGTACTAATGGGAAAAGAAAGTTGGAGCTGATTCGTATTTTTGCGAATGGAATTTAACGCTATTCAAGACGAGTCTCCCATGAATGCATTGAACAAGCCTGTGCACATTACGATACAGCACGAGTGTGCAAGCACGGACCAGTCCTGATAAACTAGCAAGAAAGAAGATGTTATGCTTCAGAAGACCAAGGAAGCATGTCTCTCTGGAGACAACGCCAGAATTATCGACTACTACCCTAATTAGGCTGCATACTGGTGGCTTACAAAAAGCAAGTCATGGTTTCTGACACCCTCCGAGAAGATCTTTTCACCTGATACAAATCCAAAACATCGTGCTTTCCGCAAGCGACCGGCGAAAACCATACCATACAACCGATTTATTAACTGGCCTTGCACGAGTAAGCTATAGAACGCTTCACAGGCATCTGTGTGGCCTGCAAGTGAGAAAAACTGCATTTGGCAAACAGCAACATGGCGTATTACCGCCTCGTACGCTACAATCATCCAAACACTTTGATACAGTACATGTGGACCCCATTGATCCGCACAACATGGAAAACACGGTATAACGATTATCGACATGCCGCCAGGTGGCTTGAAGTCGGTGTGCAGGGCAACAAGGAAGCTGTAACCAAAGCTTAAAGCTTTGATCACCAATGGTTTTGCAGATACACTCGCTCACAAGAAGTCGTCCATGACCTCGGAATCGAGTTTACCGGCAAAGAATTGTAAGAAGTGTTCGGCAGCTACAGTATTAAATCCAAGCCGATTACCTCCAAGAATCATCAGGGAAAGGATTTTTGTGAAAGCGTACATCTGGATATTCTTAACGTAATCCGAAGCTACGGAGACGCAGACTGTGCAGATTTGTCTACGACGCGGCATTTTCTATCCGAGCAAGCTACCATAGCATTTTAAACGCATCGCCCAGACAACCTATCTTCGGACAAGACGTAATTTCTCGTCAACTCCACTTTGCTAATTGGAGCAAACTCTCCAATCGCAGACACAAAGCGATTCTTGCTGACAAAGTACATAAAAAATAGGCAATGATTTAAGCA